TGGTCGTAACCCGAAAAGTTTGTTAACAGAGGCGTTCGTAACCCGAGGTACCACTGTATATCCTATTTACTGACCTGTCAGAATTGCTTCATTTTCAAGAACTTCATTGTCTTTTATTATTGTTGGCAGATGCTCTAGGGACCTGTGTCTATAGGGAGGGCTTTCAAAAGTCTCAAATGATTAAATGAGAAAGAATAACATCATTGCAGTTTTTTTTTCTTTCATTACCTGTTTTGTGTGTTTATGGATAAATTTTGTCAGCTGAACTGACATATTCTTGTGATGTTCTGCTAACAGCTTTGCTGTAAGTCATATAGATGATTCATTCATCTTTCACCTAAAAGAGTATTGTCAATTGTGACTCATGAACTAGCTCTGGAGCATTATTCTTTGCTTTCAATTTAGGTTGCAGAAGAGAAGCTGGCTTTGGCTCAAGAAGAATTGATTTCAAATAGAAATCAAATTAGTAATCATAACCAGTTGATCAAAGAACTTAAGACTATAAGATCTACACTGGAACAGGATGTGTCCAAAAAAGAACAGCAGCTGAAAGAGCAAGAGAAGTTGTTACAGGAAATACAGAAAGACAAAGTAATGTGTTTTTTAATCGTTTGAATTAGGTTTCTGGTTGCAATTGCTTCTTTTGTTGATTTTTTTTTAAAAAAAGGCATGCTACTTTACATTTTTGCTCCCTTATACATAAGATAGTCCTTGCTTAATGACCATTCATTTAACAACTGTTCATTTAACAACAGTTCAAAGTTACGATGGCCTTGGAAAAAGTGCTTTATGACCTGTCCTCGCATTTATGACTGTTGCAAACTGTTGCAACACCCCCTGAGGTTACATGATCGTGATTAGTGACTTTTTTTATAATGGTCATAAAGCTAATCACCATGGTTGTTAAGCGAATCACATGGTTGTTAAGTGAATCACGTATCATTAAGCAAATTCTGGCAAAAAAACATCCAGTGGGGAAGCTGGATTTGCTTAACAACCTTGTGATTTGCTCAACGACCACATTATTTGCTTTACAACCATTGTAAAAATGGTCATAAAATCAGATCCAGTCATATGACTCGCTTAAAAGACTGCCCCGCTTAATGACCAATTTTCTGGTCCCTAGTATTGTTAAACGAGGACTACCCATACAAATATGATGTGAACAATACAGTATATGTATATCTGTAAGAAGAAAATTTATCTTTTCTTTGTTGAAGTTGGAAAGAGTGGTCATATTACAACACTAACTGTATTACTATTCATCTAATATAGAGTGCTTAGGTATTAATTGTATCTTGAAAGATGATTGTCTTGGCTGTTAAGAAAACTGAAGCATCAATTCAGCAAGTCCTTCTATAGCCCCCCAGCCCCAATTGTATCAATTGCATAATTATCTTTCTTTGAGTCAAGAGATTCAGCTCTCTAGTCTCAAAGCAACAAATAGTAACATAGTATCTAGAAAATTCAATTCAGTAAATTATACAACATAAATAGCTAGGTTTATCCATGGTACATGAAATGATCATATTGACCTCCTGGAAGAGGAAGTATAGTCTGCATTAAAGGAATAAATTAAGAGATAGCATTGGGATTGGTGGAAAATATAGGCTCAGTTTTCCATTGGCTTTATTTTAATGAATACTGTTAATTGAAGTAGTAGCTTCTTTCTGAGTAAATATGCATATTTATTTAGGAAGGGGTATTTTAAATAGAATTGTTGACTTTTTTTGTCTAAAGGATTTAAAAGAAAAAGATTTGGTTAATGAAAAATCGAAAACTTCAGAGCTGTATAACATAAATTGCAAACAAGAAAAAGAAAATGTCAAACTAAGAGATGAAATTAGACTCTGCAAACAAGAGTTTGAGAAGGTATGTAGAGTCATAAACATTCCAAGTTGATATTGTTTAAGGCTTTGGAAAATGTGCATTAACATTACTCCAGAATTGTGCTGTAAGGTAGGTGAAATGCACTGAGGTGGAATCCTAGCTTTGAGATCTGCCTTTTTATCAGCTAGCTTTGATACCTACTTTTTCAACTCCATTGTATATTTTCTTCCCAAGCTTACAAGTTCCTTAGTTGTTTGTTCAATTGTTTATTTATTTAACGCATTTATATGGCTGTCTAACTCAAACAATGTGACTCTGGACAGCGTACAATAAACCAGTAAACAAAGATAACAAAAACAAAATAATACCAACTAAAAGTAAATATGAACAATTAATTGGCATTTGGGAATGATGTTCATTGCACTTTTCCAAACAGGAGCTCTAATCATCCTAATCCAAAAACCTAAGGAAAGAGCCAGGTTGTCACTCCCTCTCTAAAGGTCTGCAGGGTTGGGGCCAATTGTATGCTATGGGAAAGAGAGGGGAGATCATTCCAGAAAGTAGGCACCATCACAGAAAAAGCACACCCCTGGGTCTTATAAAATAACATTGTTTTTAGAGAGGGGACGAACAGCATGCCCACCCTTGCAAAAGGTGTTTCTGCCAATAACTCAGTCCTGTGCCATGTAGGACTTTATAGGTGATAACCAGCTCCTTGTACCTGAAGACTACTATAAGAAGCCAGTGTAGCTCACAATGTAGTGGTGACTACTCTGTACCATCTGAACCAGTTGTAGCTTCCAGTTGGTTTTTAATTGATCTTCAAAGGCAGTCCTGTATATTGTATTCGCAACTGGGAAATGACTAAGATATTAATAACTCTGAGCAGGGCCTCACAATTTAGGAATAGCTACAATTGGTGCAAAGATGAAATTCTGCAAATGTTGCCACTTGCTCTTTGAGGAGAAACTGTAAATCCATGCAGATCTCCAAATTGCATATCAAGTTTGACGGGTAGCGCAACCCCATCCAGAGCCATGGATGGACACTCTCCAATTCCTGGAACCAGGCGACCCAAAACCCATAGCCACTTGGTCCTGGTAGGGTTGAGTCAAAGCCTCTTCTTTTCCATATATAAGTCTACAGTCTCCAGATACTCAGACAGAATCTTGGCAGCCTCACTTGGTTAGCCAGGAGTAGAGATTTACAATTGAGTATCATCAGCATTTTAATGATACTGCACCACATGCTGCACCCCAGTAGCTTCTTGTAGATGTGAAAATGAAATGGGGAGAGGGTAGAGCCCTACAGCTTCCTGCACAGTGGGGGTCTAAGGCTAGATCACTCAACCCTCAGCACTGACTGGAACTGGTGCCAAAGGAAGGAGAAGAACCCCAGTAGCACTCTGCCTCCCACTCCCAACCCCCTGAGCTGGTCCAGAAGGATATCATAGCTAATGATATAAAGGCCACAAGTGGTCTGGGAAAGCCTGGATGGATGCACTACCCCCATCCTGAAAACTGAGCAACAAGCATGACCAAAGTTGTCTCAGTTCTATATCTTGATCTGAAACCCATCTGGAAGGGGTCCAAATAATCAGGATTTCTTCAGAACCTTGTGGAGCTGAAGGCTGACCACCTTCTTAACAATCTCTCCTATAAAGGGAACGTTAAAGACTGGAAAAAGTAGTTTAGATGAGCTACTGTCTCATTTTCAGGATATTTCATAGAATCTTGCCTTATTTGTAGTTAGTTAGTTAGTTAGTTAGTTAGTTAGTTATACTTTCAATTTCTGAGATTGCCCACTTGCCATTGATTCAATTTTTAATCCCAGGAAGAAGATAAAATATTGTGTGGGCCATACAAGGTTTATAAATTGATTGCACTTGAAAATAAACTTAGCTGTGCCATAAGGCCTTTTTTCCTCCACTTTTCTCTGGAGCAGCTTCAAGGAGATTTTAAAGCTTGGTTTCTGTTTTAAATTAAGCATAATGTAGTGTTAGGTTTGATCCCAAAACTGTTTAATTTTAATCATAGCTGACTAAAAGAAGATGGTTTCAGAAATAGAAAAACTCTGGAACTTCTTTGTATCAATGAATCACAATTAAGACTAAAAAAGATAAACTTTAACATGCAGGCCTAATCTAATATTATTTCAAAATTTTAATTTTTTATATAGCTTTTAAATCTCTATTTTTGTCTATTTTCCTATTTTTTTCCTCATTTTCTCTTAGGAGTGTTTTAAAATATCCAAATAAATAAATAAAATTAACTGTACTTTATTTAAAAGTGTAATATGTAGTTCTAAGGGATTGGGACCAGGAAGATGCAGATTCAAATCCCCAGTTTATGGAAATTTGAGATGATCTGGGGACAGTAACTCTCTTAGTTCAACCTAATGCACAAGTTTGCTGTTTGAGAAATAAAATGATGGTAGACTCCCATATAACATACCTTGGATTCCCAGAAGAAAGAAGGATATAGATTAAATCAATCAGTCAATCAATCAATAACCCACCCACCCACTCTAGTTAATTAAAAAAATTTTTTTCCTTTGAATTTCATTATTCTAACAATAAAAATATTTTAAAAGAAGCAAACAAAAACTCTGTGGCTGCCAAAGTCTGTTTAACCTAATCGTGATTGGAATATCTGAACCTTCACCAGGCAACAATCTCATTTTTTTGTGTGTGGTAAACATTGAAGTCATGGTTTTAAGTCAGTTTACAGAACATGATACTCTTTAACTCTTTAATAATCTTTCATAATATCTGATTCTTGCTTTCTGTGGAAGTTGTTGGCAAATCTACAGAAGAGATAAACAAGAACACCTACAACAGGAAGGTTTAATTGTTTTTTTCGAGTTTTTCCCCAAAGCTATTTTTCTTTGCAATTGTTGCCCAAATTTGCCCAACCCTCCTACATCTTTCTTCCAGTACAGGAAGTTAAGGAAAAGTGTAGAATTTACACCATATTTTCTCTACAGTTTGGCATAATTAAAAGAAGGGAGAGAGAGACCGCCCATGTGGGATGTCCAGGTTGAAGTGTAGCTTGAGTCATGGAAGCACACTGGGAGACTTTGGGCCAGACACTTTCTCTCTGTTATTGTTACTGTTTGGGGAAAAACTGGAAAATGAAGTGCTATGTGTGCTACCTTGAGGTCCTCAGGAAAAGGTAACAAAATAAAATTGTCCTATGCTTTTATTTTCTTCAAAGTAAGAATTTTCAGATTTAAACATACTACTCAAGAATGATACAATTGGTAGTTTAGACATCTGTCTTGCTGACTTTTCTCCTTCCTTCAGTTTCCATGCCCTGGGACTTTGCTTTCCTTATTTAACTTGGTTTAATTTTCATTTTCTGTTCCTCCTGCCTGTGTAACTTTTTTTCTCCAGGTCTTTTTAGGCTTTTCTCAATTTTGATATATTCTTCTTTATTTTGGAGTTGACTATGTACTAGTAAACATCAAAGCATTGAGAAATGCAAGAGGCCAGAACAGCATTAACAACAAAACAAGATATAAACCTTTTAAAATAAAGTATTTAGTTCTACCTCTCTTACTTGAAAATATAAGGGAAAGCCCTTATATTTTCAAATATTGTTTATTAATATAGTATAACTCTTGTTCATATATTAGTTTAACTGAATAATTTTTATTTTTTTAACAGGAGATATCAAATCTAAAAGATGCCAAACAGCTGTTGATTAAACAGAAACTAGAATTACAGGAGAAGGTTGATAATTTTAGTACAGCTCTTGAACAAGAGAAAAAAACCCAGGAAGTCATCAAAGATCAGTGGAAAAAGAGAGAAGGAGAATTGAAGAAGAAATATGCTGAGATAGAAGCAAAACTGGTTAGTATGTTTGAGCAACAGATCCAGAGGTGTATATGATAATGAGTAAAGTAATTCATTGAATATTTGCACAGCCATAATGCTTAAGCCTTAATTATAAATGAAGGGATTCACATATTCCTTTTTCTTCCTACCTTTTATATTACAGCCAATGAATACAAGTAAAATTGCTTATGGAACACACTATTATGTTTTATTCACAACTGCATTTCAAATCAAGCAGTTTACAATCAGTATTATATGTATTTATAGATAGACAAAATTTAATTTAAGTATTTGAAACTCTTGATGTGTTGTGGATTCAGAAATAAATTCTGGTAGGTTCTTCTAAGAAGCATTTGGTTTGACTGAAAACAGTACTTCTGCTTTCACATTTGAATTAATTGTGCATGAATTGAAGCATAATGCATTCCAAGAAATAACTAAGGTTCTCCTGTAATTTCCCTGATTGCTTATTCTTACCACAGTGCCCTGTGATTTAAAAAAAAATCTGCTTTCCAGAATTGGGAAACCCTCTGAAACATTGTGGGAAGTGTTAGTTAGGGGTGTAGAGGAAAATGAATAAAAACAAGCTCTTTATCTTCAGCTAATGAGAAATTTTGTTGGATGAAATCCCTTCTGCTTGGCAACTGAGGTTTCAAGCCAGTATTTCCCCATTTACTAATTCATTTTTTTCCAGAAAGGAACATGCATTTTTGAAGCTTGTTTTATTTTTCTTCAAAAATGTCACTTTCCTCCTGGAATAATACCTGAACAGACATACGAGGTGTTAGAAAGAGGATTGTTATGTTGAAATGTTTCTTTTATTTTAGCAAGCTTTGGGCAAGGAAAAAGATGAACAGTGTAAAAGTCATGAAGAGGCTGAGTGTAAGCTCAATATGCAGATAACAGCACTGAATGAAAATCTGGGGACAGTGAAGAAAGAGTGGCAGAGTAGCCAAAGAAGGGTTAGTGAACTGGAAAAACAAATAGATGATCTGCGTGGAGAAATTGCAGTTCTCGAAGCCACTGTACAAAACAATCAGGATGAGAGAAGAGTATTGCTAGAAAGGTAAGTTATTAAATATGTTTTTAAGTGGTTTATGTTAAACTAGGGAAGACATTCTTTCCAATCTTTGTTATAAGTTGAACTTTGTGTAATTTGGACTAAAAATCAGCTTTTTTGCCACAGAATTTTTTTTTAAAAACCCTGTGGATTCGCAATAAGCTACGCAAAACGGTAACAGCTAAAATTCATAATCTTAGGGTGAGCTTGATGATTATGTGAAATTCCAAACTTTCTATACTGCATATGGTGATTTTTCTTTATTGGTATAACTAGGTTTGTTGTGAAATTCTACTTGACTTTAAATAACAAAATACCAGCGTACTCTCTGAAAATCTTAATGGCCTCTCTTGTTAACCAGAAATGTGCATTGTTATTTTTGTGTCATGGTTGGAGCCAAGTTGAAACAGCTTTCCACAGAATAGTGATAATAAAAGGATATTATGAATATCAAGATTGATAGTACAGAAATGTTTACAAACTGGGTGATTTACATTGACAGGATGCTATTATATACAGCTTCATCTTACAAAATCTTTAGAGTACAGGTAGTCCTTGCTTAACAACCATTTGTTTATCGACCATTCAAAGTTACAACAGTGCTAAAAAGTGACTTATGACCGGTGCCTGAAGTTACAACCATCACAGCTCCCCTGCAGTCAGGTGATTGCGATCCAGGCACTTGGCAACCAACTTGCACTTACAACAGTTGCAGCATCTTGGGATCATGTGATCACCATTTGTGACCTTCCCAGCTGGCTTCCAGCAAGCAAAATAAATGGGGAACCATGTGATTCACTTAACGACTGTGGTGATTTGCTTAATGACCACTGCAAAAAAGGTCATAAAATCAGGTCTGGCCACAGTTGTGGTTGTTAAGCAAGGACTACCTGTAAATATTTCTTACTAATAGAAAAGAAATCAAATGATTTGTTTTCTTTACTGCCTCCACCTCCACATCTGTTTCATTATAAAGAGATAAATTAGATACCCCTGAGACTGCTGAAATATTTCTTCTCTATGTAAATTTTATGCATTCTTTGCTGCAGTTAGCCATTTTTGTATAATAACGTAATTGACAAAAGGGATAGTGGTCTTAGAACAGGTTAATACTGTTCATTTATTCAAGTGATAATTATCAGGAGGACCTTTTTTTCCCCTAGTTACAGTATATTAATTTTTTTTCTTTTAGTATTTAAAATATTATTTACTTATTTACTGTCTTCCCTGTAGGTGCCTTAAAAGTGAAGGAGAAATTGAAAAGCTTCAAAGCAAACTCATGGATGCACGAAGAAAACTGGATGATACTACTGCAGCCATGCAGGAGCTAGGGAGAGAGAACCAGTCACTGCAGGTATTTCATTTTTATGCTAAAAGACAGTCATTGGCAATTTAATATTAGCACTGTTGTTCATATGGCATAGATAAATGAGTAAGTAGAATAGGTGAACAAGATATGGGAATCCAGCTTATACTGGTCAAACAGTGACTGGTCTTTGGGTTTGGAGTACTCTGTATACATAGGGTTGCAGTGGGAGAGAGGGAATAATTTTCAAGTACTAACAGTCTTACTGAATTTTGGTTATAATTTGAAGTTTTGATTTAATATTTACATGATATCTGTTTCTTATATTTTATATAGATCAAGCATACACAAGCATTAAATAGGAAATGGGCTGAAGACAACGAAGTTCAGAATTGCATGGCTTGTGGGAAAAGTTTTTCTGTAACAATAAGAAGGGTATGTATGTCTGGGAATTTATTATGAGATTTATTTTCATAAAGTGAAGTAATATGTATGAATAAAGTTAATTTAAGGAATAATCTCATAAATCCTATTTCTTTGAAGTATGGGGCAAATTGATTCAAAATATATTTTTTCTTTTGGACACAGTGAAGCAAGAAGCTTGTTGCTAATGCCAAGTTCTCACTTGCTTTCATTTAAACTTGATGACAGAACCTGCTTAGCCTGGATAGTGATATATTTCTCTCTTGATAATCTCATACATATATTCTGATTGGAAATAGCTGATTGTGACCTTGGAAATGTGAACATTTCAAGAAAATGCAAACATTTTACATGCATTTTATACCGTATTCTAGCAAAATTAGCATTAGATTTTTTTCAGTAACCTGTTCTAGTTCCAGAGCTATATAGGAAAGAGAAATTGTTTCTTATCATTGTCTGGTTAAACTTTCAATATAGGCTTCTTGCTTGGTTATTTTTGAACTATACCTGTTCACTGAAGTAGGCACTGATATGCATGTATATAAATGCACACTCTCACACAGTCCAGTCTCAGCTAAGAAATATATTTTTGGCAGAAAACTCAGAATATAGTGACTATTATGTTTTAATCTCATCTCATGCAATGCAGCCACTCCTCGTTTAGTGACTACCTAGGTTAGTGACCATTCACAAATATGACTGTCATGAACGGTAATAAAAAATTAATTTTTTGACCAGTGCTCACATTTATGACCAAATTTTGTGTGCCTGCCAACAAAAGCCTTTGGTGTGAAACTGATTAAGGTCTGGTCAGTTTCAGGCAATAGTGGGGCTGGTGGGAGGGTTCTTATGAACTAATTAAGATCACATAGCTCAACTTTTTAGGGCTGTGCTGCACTGCTGAAAAAAGCAGCTCAGGAAGAGAGAGTTTGTTGAAGCAATCTCTCCGTCCTGGAAGGAGGAAAAAAAAAAAGGGGGGGGGAGGGCTGAATAAGACAGCAGCAACCAGTCGTCTCTCTCTCTCTCTCTGTCACATGTTCACTTAGTGACTGTATTGTTTAATGACCAAGTTGTTGGAATGGAATGTGGTCGCTAAACGAGGAGCGGGTGTACTTCTAAAAATTATGTATATACTTGTTCTTTTTTTAATTTAGTCCACTGGTAATTCACTGTTTTAAAATATCATAGATTGGGTTGTGCAGTATAAAACCATGGTGAGCACATTTAGACTTGTGTGCTCACCTTTACTTCCTCCGCAAGCTGTATTTATCACAAGCCGTAGCTATCTACTGCATCAGAAATATCCATCTGTGATTTTATGTTTGATGTTTAGTCCAGATTTGAAAAGCAAGCATAAAATAGTCTAGGATTACACATCACACTAAAGCCTTATTGTGATGTGATTTAACTAATTTTGGCTTAATGTATTGTTTGAATATAGTCATTGAGGTTTAACAAAGCATGGTTCATATCTAGTTTGGAACTAGGCTACCACGGCTTGTTCAATAACCAAATATTACCCTATAGTTTAGCAGTGATGTATAAGCTGAGTCTAAGCAGTTAATCAGTTGAAAAGGGAGTAATATTTATGTAATTCCAAGAGTTTGAGGTTATATCCGCCATGTGTTCATAACTTTTCTTTTTCGTTTTATAGCACCACTGCAGACAGTGTGGAAATATCTTCTGTGCTGAGTGTTCCTCAAAGAATGCCTTAACTCCTTCTTCTAAGAAACCTGTTCGTGTCTGTGATACTTGTTTCAATGATCTACAAGGATAATTACTCACAATTCTTACATGTTATGCTAGAGTAACGTTTCTGTTATGCACTTCGTACAATACAATACTACTATTTTGGGTGGGCACCAATTGTAACAGTTGGCAAAATTATAGTATGTGTTTAACTGATAAAGTCAAACAATTGTACTTCTTGTGAGGCTGAAGTTATCTGTGGCTTATTTGGTTTTGGTCCAAGAGAGCTTCTGTGTCAAGTTTATAAGTCTCCAGTGACTTGTAAATAAAATTTAAATAGAGGTTACAATGTATTTTTTTTTAATTCTAATTTGTTTGTTCAGAAATAACCCCCTTTAAAAATTATTGCAGGGATTTTGTGTTTCAAATATTGCTGCGTAAATATAACTTAATGATTGCTTGGAAATGTGTAAGATATTAGTAGCTCAAACAAGCAGCTTTCTGTGCCTGTTTTTTCTTTCTTTTCCCTCTCACTTTCACTGTGAGTTCCTTTTTATGATTGTGTCTAGTTAGTGGAAAACTGCCTTGAACTCTTAAGATTGTCAAGCTGTTTTACTGTAGTATCATTGTACAGTATACGTCACAGAAAATGAAAAGCAATCTCGATACTATAGCATAGATCTGATATTTCTTCTCTAAGAATATGCTGCATCCTATTGAAAATAGGTGGGCTACATAGTCTTTGATATGCAAATTCCTGTTTGTAAACTTTTGAGTTAGAGATGTATTTTTGCCTCTTGCCCTCTTAAAAGCTTGTATGCTCCTTTACATTTCTTTGTACTATTCAAATATGTTTGCACTGTTCTCTCTTTTTTATTCACAGGAAATATTGCCTGGAAGATCCAGGCATAGAAAATTCTGGTACTTAAAGATAATGTAGTTATGATAATTATTAATTATTTTACAGTTCCACTATTTTCAGTGTGCATTTTCCCCTTTTTAATTGTAATTAGAACTCTATGGGTTTGTCCTCCTTAAAATTTGGAGTGAAACTCAGCACTGCTAAAGATTGAAGGGAAACTTAAACTCTCAGTAGTTTGTCTTGGTTTGTCTTGGTTAATTCATTTTATGAGAATCCTCTAATCGAGGAGTTCATTAAAAAGTGATGCCATATTTTGTCCATCTGAAAGTTAGCTAAAATTACTGTTTTTAAGCTAGTAGGCAGAATATGATATTTTCCCTTTCAACTGAGATTGGGATAATACACACACACACACACACACACACACACACACGTCTATGCACACTGTGGTAATACAAAATAATGCATTGGTAAAATCTAGATTTACTAAAATGTAAGGTGATATTTAAAATCAACTTTTTTTTATTTGTAACCTGTTTGCATGGAAGATGAGTGCAACTGTAGACATAGAAATGAATGTGGAACTAGAAAGAAAAGGAATACAAATAGTTTAACCAAGATAGATTGACAGAGGGGGCTTTCCATGTAGAAGATTCTAATCCTAGTATTTATGCCTCCAAATAAAGAGTTCACAGGTCCTAGGCTTACACACCATTTTTTTTCCTTGTCTGAAATCCTGGAGAATCATTAGTTGTGGATTATACAATTTTGAATCAATAGATTAAAAGTCTTACAGGTTATGAATCAGCTTTATGCGGTAAAAATGTCCAAATGGTCAGATATAAATATAATGTATGTAGGTCAAATCTCTTAAGTCAGCTATTCATAGAGTGTACAACAGATGTACAATTCAGCTGTTATCCAGCTGTTTTATTCACTGTTGTCTCTTTGGAATATAATGGAAAAAGGTAATGTACGAAGTATTCATGATAAGAACTAAAATTTATTGGAGCTGTCTTCTGATTTATCTTAGTTGATTAATTAAGGGTACATAAATTAGCATTTAAAGAAACTGGTTCAGAAGAGGAAAGTAATTTTTTTAAGGTGATGTTTGTGTGTGTTGTAGTAGGCATCATTTTGGAAATTGTATATAAGATAAGGGGGAATTATTTTCCAAGGTTGTATCTGCCGCCTGCATTTTTTCTAAGTAATTTTTAAAAAGGATATTAAAAGCAAGCAAATTATCTGCTCCTCATTTAAGTGGGGATTTGATTTCATTGCAGTCCCTAGAAATTTTACTGACACACACACGCACACACACAACAGATAGAGAAAAGTTCACCTTGTCCAGAGAAAGAAAATGAGGTTGATCTGATAGTTTAAAAATTTGGATTATTTGATTGAAAACTCAGGAAGAGTAAGGTATAAGCATTGTCACTTGCACTGTGCACTTTTTAGTGTAACCAACACTATATGCAAGAAAAGAACTGTTTGCAAGAAATGATGTAGTAATTGGTCCACAAAGTTGTACATTCTTAATTCAGTGCTAATTCGCTTCCCTAGTAATTTTATATGGTGTTTAGGAATATTATGTCCATAATTCTTATGTACTCCAGAGGGTACATGTATACTAAAGAGGTTGCATGTTCTTTAGAAGCACTGCTTGATTTTAAGAATAGAAAAAGTGGACTTGGCAATTTTGCACATTTCATGTTCAGAATGGTTTTCATTGTTCATGTATAAGCATTTGTTTTCTTATTAAATTACACAAAAATTTATTTAGGTGGTCTGTTTTCCAGATCATAGCAATAAACAGAAAAGGAAATTCCCTACTTAAGAGCAGAAATGTTAATATTTGTATCATTTCTTTAAAACTTAGAAGTGATATATATTTTAAAAAATACTTAATAGTTTCCATTTAAGAGTGTAAAAATGAGTAAAGCTATCCATATTTAACATTGACTGTTTTGCTTCAGTATGTAATTGATTGATAGCAGGCACGGAAGAAAAGAGTCGTGAGAAAACTACTACTTTGTTTTGTGCCAGCAAAAGGGGCAACATATTTAGCAGAGGTTTGTTTTTCAGTTGTGATCTTCTCCTTACAGCCCATATGAATAAGGTTTACTATTGGCTTTCTGAATTACAAATTTCAAATACAGTGTACATTGTTGATTAGTGTGGCAGATTTGAATAGCTTTCATGCCACCTACATTGTACTATGTGGTTAAATTCAAACTCTTTGCACCAAAGAGAAAGAAAAAACATTGTTACATCAGGTTAATAAACAAACATTTTGTAATAGAAATCTGTCCAAAATGCTGCTTGTATAGGATTTATCACTTTTGTAATAAAATTATTTTAAAAACACACACAAAAAGCCCAATCTGAGAATGCCACTATGTAAGATTTCATTTAACTACCTCTTGATATGAAACTCAACTTGAGCCCATTTTAAAATGGTTTCCTCACTATGATGTTAGGTTTGATTTGTGATGACTGCCAAATTTTAAAGTATTTTGAAATTACCAAAAATGTAATATTTCAGTATGTGTGCTTATATAGCTTATAGTTATTATAGATCTATGCTCTTTTGTTTCCTTTAGTTTAGTTCTACAAACCTATAGGTGTTGGAGAAAAATTAAATTACACAAGTGTTCCTAATTATAATCTTTGATCTATATCAGCTATATGTGTCACATTGGCTGCTGTTAATATTTACATGTCATTAAGTTAGCCTCTGTTTCCAGTGCTCATGACAAGAAGTTGACAAATGCTATTATGCTATAATGGAGGTGTGCCACAAATTGTATTGTCCTATTGGCCTCTTTTTAACTATTGGTTTATTATAGCTGCAGATGTGAATATTGTGCATAATGTTTATTGGGGTGGGGTGGGGTCTGTACAATTGTATAAATTAGACTTGGAAAGTTTCTGTGCTTATCTTATATTTACAGATGTATTAAGGTAGCTTTACCTACATAAGATTGCACTTCTTTTCCAACTGGATCCTTACATTCACATTATCTTTAGATAGTCTTGCATGGCAATTTTTATCAGGTGGATTCTCTTAAGTCCTTTCAGTGGTGTGTTTATGACTTGTAGTCATGTAGTCGTGCCTTACAGTGTGAAAGAGTTTAGTTCAGTATGCACTGTAAATCCTAAACTCTGCATCTGGAAAGTAATGGAAGCTGAAGAGTGAGAAAAATGACACCATGCAACCACTAATTCTGTATGAAACCCATGGGTGGATACTTGTGGAAATGTTACTTTTGTATTCTATTATTGGGCTGAAAATAAAATTAGAAATTTCTAATATACCATTTGCAATGACTGTTTTGGTTCACCTTTGCTGGTATGGAAAGCGATCTGCTGTATATGTCAAACATATTCATCTCCAATTCACATATTAGCAGAATGCTTCAGCTGTTTCATATCTTGACTGTGGCAAGATTGAATTTATTCCATATAATGAAATTGGCTGTTTTAAGTGATTATCATTAAATAGTTTCACTAAACAATTCTTTGGGTTTAATAATTTCTACTAAAATTTTCTTCAATATTGCTATAAAAGTCTGTAGAGCCAATTTTCCTTGCGTGTGGTGCCAAGTACCCATGGCAGAGTAGAAAGGCTTCTAGAGATACAACATCATGGGATGTTTTTTATGAAATAGGGAGCCTATATGGGAAGCTGTGATTAGGTCAGAGTCATGGAGTCCTAGTCATATGAAAGTATTTTTAGTGGCAGTTTCACCAAAACATTTCAATCAACTTTTCTACTGCAGCATCCCATAGCATCCCTTATTAATTGCCAAGGGAGATGAATGGGCATAATGAGTGATCCATCCTATTTTTAAAAAAACAAAAAGACCTTTTATAATGGAAGATTTATAATGAGCTTTTGTATATATAAGTCATAGTACTTGTGCTGTATTGCAAATCAGCCTGAGGGCAAAGCCAAGCTCATCTCCTGGCAACTTCTTGGACATGTCTGTGTAGCTTTTCCTGCTGCCCCAAATGCTTCAAGATGGGTGTGTTACAAACAGTGTTGAATAAATAAACAATACAGAAGTGATTTGCCATTGTCTTCAGCCAAGATTTTTTCCTCCAACTTTTCAGTCTCCCTTAAATCTTGGTATTTCCCAGTGTTCTTCCATCCAAAACATCAGCTAGGTTGGATCTTGCTTAGCTTTTCAAAATCAGCCAAAGTTACCTAGGTGCCACCAAGTACATAACTTATTCATAAATAATATTTTGTGGACTCCTTAATAAAAACATTTTTAATTTATAAATCAAAAACCATATTGTCTAATAACTTGGCACAACATATAAGGTTATTGCTAGCTGTGGCTTTGGAGTAGTTTTCAGCTCCAGAAATTCCAGTTAACCTGGTTGTCAAATGTCAGGTTCTCAACCTTTTTTCACTGATGGCAGTGAATTTGTTACTAAACTCATAAATCATATTCTGTGGCATCCTGTTCCATTTTCCATTAGCATAGTTGCAAACATTGTGGTTATAAAGCCATGCTGCTGTTAATTCTTTACAACGTAACAGTTATGTTTTACAGTCATCAATGTGGCAAATGAATTCTAGCAATTGAGCTTTTTTTCCAATATCTAATGACTTAACCAAGGTTCAAACATTTCAAAGCCTGTGGACTTACATGAATCCATCTGCTAATGGTGCTGTCCAAAAAAGGAACCATGTAAAAAACCCTTCTGTTTCTCCTTCACTCCTAAGAATCTCTTTAGCTCAAAAAGGAAGAATCAGTGCCTCTAGAACTCTGTGAGGTTTCATAGTTTTAGGTCTCAGTTCTGCTATTAAATAGCTTCCTTCTTGAGTTTTACTTGACACTCTGCTGTAGCTAATTTCAAACTTGTTTTTCTGAATTTAAAAGTCTCTCAAAGTAGAACCAAGGTTTTTCAGCTAGATGAGTGTTCTGTTGAGAAATCTCTCTTCAGTTTGCTGGTACCATTGCTTCATTAGCCAGTTTACTGTAACAAATGACAAATTCTGATTAAATTCATCACTACACGATGTGAATTCCAGTGATTTTCTTTGTTTTTGTAGTCACATTAGTCTTGCATATTGCAGGATTTTCTCCTTTCTCACTGTTCCTTCATCTCTGCTTTGTCCTCACCACCAACATCTTCATATTTTCTCTTCCTACTGACATTGATTTTTAGGCAGGTCATAGTATGCACTTGAGGATGACTTCTCTTTTCTGGCTTCTGTTATTTTTTTGACCAGCATTATGATGCTGTCCTAGCTCGATACAGAATTAAGCATGAAGATAAGTTAAAAAATATTAGTTTAATGGCACTTAGTATTCTGAATTTTTTTCCTTTTATATTTATTAGGAAATGCAAATGAACTAAAGGTCATAGTAGCACTGCTGTTTGCATATGTTCATACAAGTTATCCTCTGAACTCTCTTCTAGCTAAAGTATGCTCCCAAATTTTCACCTTTTCTGAATTTCAGAAAAGTTTGCAAATATTTTAATAGCTTTCTTTAAAAAGTAAAAGTATTTTAAAAAGTAAAAGTATTACAAGTCACAGCTAAATTTCAGATGATTCAGCAAGTGTATTGAAAAATGAAGTTTTTGAAGGATTATTTCTTCTTGCATAGTTGGTGATTGTTGTTTCCATCTGGGACATCCATGTTTTCTGGGAAAAAAGCAACTGTTTTTAATTAATTAACTAATTGTTTAAATTTACTTACTAAATTTGTATCCCACCTGACTCCCAATGACTCTGGGTAGCTCACAAATAAAAACATTAAAAACAAGAAAAAAAATAAAATAAGAGAACAAAATAATAAAAGGTGGCAAGAGTGACAGAAACCAGACAGGAATGAAAGAGAGACACAATCCAAAGGGGGCTTCACTCTCCCTTGCTAAAGGTTGGGGCAAAGAGCCAGGTCTTTAAGACTCTTTGAAACATAAGCAGAGTGGAGGCCATCTGGATCTTAGGGGGCAAACTCATTCCATAGGGCAGGTGCTGCTACAGAAAAGGCAGATCCCAATAGATAGCATTATTTAATCGAAGGCACTTGTAGTGCGCCAACTCTGCCAGATTGAATTGGCTGGGCAGATACTATAAGAGATCAGCAGTCCCTCAAGTAATTAGACCCTATGCCATAAGGGGCTTTATAGGTAATACTGGCACCTTGAATCTCACCAGGAAGCAAACAGGCAACCGCCACAGCTCATAAAGCAGAGGTGTTACATGAGCATACTGAGGCATGCTCATCACTGCCTGCGCCACTGCTTTCTGGATCAGTTGAAGCTTCTGGATGGTCTTCAAGGCCAACCCCATGTAAAGCACAATGCAGTAATCAAGCCATGAGCTGATCAGGGTGTGACTGACCGATGGACCTCCCAATCTAGGAGAGGGCACAACTGGTGCACCAGATGAAGCTGTGCAAAGATCTTCTTGGCCACAGCTGCCACCTGCTCATTGAGACCCCCATGGGGAAGTATAACCACATCCAAGGTAAAAAAGGGAATCCAGATCTGGGTGGCCCAAACCTTCACAACAAGCCAGTCTTGGTAGGACTGAATTGGAGATGATTCTTTCCCATCCAAACCCTCACAGACTCCAGGCACCAGGACAGAACCTTGACAGCTTTACTTGGCTGGCCTGGGGTCAAAAGATGCAATTAAGTATTATCAGTATATATATGATACTGAACCTAGGAGTTTCATGTGGATGTTGAAAAGGAGGGGAGAACTCTATGGTACCCCACAAAAGGAAGGGCCTAGAGGGCAATCTTTCTCCCTCAACCAAACACTGATTGGAACTGGCCCTGGCGAAAGGAAGAAAATCACCATAAAGCAGTGCCCCCAATCCCCAGCCCACGGAGGCAGCTCAGAAGAATACCATGGTCAATAGTATCAAAAGCTACTGAAAGATCAAAAAGCACATGGATGGATGCACCACCTCCATCCCAATTTCACCACAGGTCATCTACAAGGACGACCAAAGCTGCCTCAATACTAAATCATGGCTGAAACCTGACTGAAATGGGTCTAGATAATCCATTTCCTCTACAGTTCTCATCAACTGCAGACTGACCATCTTCTCAACAACCTTCCTTAGAAAGGGAAGGTTGGAGACTGGATGATAGTTATTGAAAACTGTTGGGTCCAAGGATGGTCTGTCTCTTGTGGAAGGGCGCACCTCCACCACTTTCAAGGCAGGATGTACTACCTTCTCCATCAAAGAGGCCAATAACAGCATGTATACCTACCTTGTCTACCTCTGTCTGTGCTTGAAGTAAGTAGGCTCCTATGCACTGTTGATATCTATTTTCATGCTGTATTAGAAAAGCATTTCGTAGTCCCAAAGCTAAGAAAATATAGACACATTATAAAAAAAACCCCCACAGCTTTCACTCCAGATCTCTATAAACAATGAATAACTGCCTTTCAGTTTGTAATTTAATTGATAACTGCCCATGTACACACAAATGATGACTCAGTAAACCAACAGCTTCAATGGAATGTACAGCTAGCTTTCTTTTATAGAAGTAGGTAACAATGACCTCTGGGCTAATTTCATGGAGTCCTTGGTATACTTTCAGAATTATATTTATTAAACCAGTTGAGATCTCTGTCAACCACTTTCTTTTTCCTACAGTCTGCTACCTGGGGGAAAGTGATGAGGATGCCAGGAAGCAATACATCCATAAAAAAATGGGTGTCATCAAAGAGAATGGGGTGTTTCCACTCTCTGTTTAATGTTGGTTTCTCCCACTGCTTGTTTTGGCTTTGTCTCATTCCCTATCATGTGAGTTCCTAAACAAAGATGACTCAGGTTTAGAAGTAAATACAGTCTAAAAAATGGTCTCAAGTGGTAAGAAAACAACCTTTCCAAAAATATCTGTAAAATACATATAGATGTTAACTACTAAGTGTAATGATCTCCAAGGAAATTAAAGTGCAGTATCACACACACTTTGGATGTCCCATTTTCTTGTCTCCTCCAGATGTCTTGTCACTTCTGTTGCTGCTACTACCTTTGTTTCATCATCAGGCAATTGAATGCCTTTCAGTTGCTATGAAGAGGATGGTAAAAGAATGGGCTAGCATTTTCATCAATACTAAGAAAAGAGTTCTTAGTAAGTGATGATATTTAATCTTGGAGCTGTCTGAGTTACTGCTTCAAAATATAATACACTGTATTTATAGAATAGATTGTATTAAAACTAAATTTCAGTGTGAAAACCAGCTTTTCCATTTCCATTTTACTTTTAATTATCTGCATACCTATATATTTTTTCTTGAATTGCTATTCTAAGGAAAGGGCATAATGGTGCCTCCTCATTTTTTCTCTGCCAGTCATATATTTTGTCTCTGTCTATACACACCAGGCAGAAATAAACTACAGTTTTAAGAGTTGAAGCTAGTTTTATAGATATATGATTTCTTGTGATGTAAGTATCATTGTCATCTCCATAGTAGTATTTAATCAGTCAAATATTGAAGAGGTATAGTAATCCTATCACAGTCATGTCACAGTATATAACCAGGTGCATCAAACCTCCATCAGCTGTGAACAATATCTTCATACAAATACACTGGGGACAAAGAAAATGGAGAACCCAACTATCACAGTAGATTTATTTGAAAGTGGATAAAATAAGAATTATTTTGCAAAAAGTTCATTTTTACATGTACAGGAAGAATGGGTAGTTTAGATTTAATGATGAATACCAATGTCAGTGCTAAATTGTGGGTCTGTCTCATCAGTTTGGCTTCTTTCCCCAGCACCCTTTTTAAAAGAAATCCATAATAAATGCCATCTGCAATTCAGTATTGTATGATTTCTATTTGTTACTTACAAGCTGCTGCATGCATACAATGGCTGTTTAGAGGCTTTGAAATGAAAGTAGGCATTTTTGGAAATGCTTCACTCCCCTGTGCCTTCTTTAAGTTTTCTAAATATTTTAAGGAGGGCTGACTTCGATGATCATGCACTAAAAAAAACCATTGTATATATGACATGTACAATTTTTAAAAACTCTGACTAAGTAGTTGTAAAGCATTTAACGTACCTGCTATATGGAATGAATCAATATTTTTTACCATCATTCTATCTAATGGAATAGGCTGGTCAAGTACTGTGCAGTTACCACCTTCTTCAAGCAAAGATTGCAACTCCAGAGTGAAGAAAGAACAGACAGGTGTTAAACTCAGGTCAGATTTCTGAAATGAAACCAAAAAACATATTTGCAACCCGTGGTTGCAGGAAAGGCTGGAAAGATTCAAATTAAATCAACTAGCTAAATTGCAGGATGCAGGAATAGGAAATAGGATCCTCTGAGATGAATAAATAGGAATAGAGCAGCAGTATGGGGGTGGGGTGGGGTGTCAAAATTGGCAAGTTGGCAGATACAGTGTTATGATGCAAGACCTGGCCTTTCTGTAATGCAGTGATAGTGCACACACATTCAAAAGGGGCAGGGCTTGCATAGTGACACTCCTGCCAATTTTGACACCCCAACCCATAGTCGTTACTGAAATAGAGATTTTTGGAAGAGTTAGCAAGTTCACCTCAAATCTTCTGGTTTATGTTATAGTTTAACTAACCCATACAGGTCAAGTAGTGGGAGGGAGATGTAATGGAGGAAAAGGAAACTAGTTGTGGGAAGGAGACAGTAAACTAGCTCAGAACCCCAACTGTGGGTGTATTCAAAGAGAAGAGGGAGGGAAGAAAGGAGAAAGATGGTTTGAAACCAGCAGGGTGAAGTTGATGCATATATCAAGCTACTTATATGAATAATTAGGGCCATTTCCTGCTTATATCAAAGGCTCTGCATAGAGTGGCTAGCTTCGCATAACATGCTAAACCATAATGTGATTTCTTTATTTTCAGCTTAATAACATATGTGAATCATCATGCTCAGTAAACCATGTTTGCATTATGTTTGAACAGGCCAATACACCTTGTTCAATAAACCATTTACAGCTAACCCTACCTTAGTGGTTGTGAAGCTAGTCACTCTTTACACAGCTTTTGACATAAGTCAGAAACATTCTCTAGTTATTAATATTAACTTTATTTACTACCTATTGTGAAGAGAGTCAAGGGGAGTCCCCACCCAATATCCTTCAGCCAAACTGTAATAACTACCATGCACAATAAAATAGAAGATATTGAAAGATATGGAACCAAATCTTTAAAACAAACAACGTTGTTGATATAAGCAGGTATTACAGGTCCTCCAAAGACTTGGCTTGTATCACAGCAACCCTTAAAGCCTCTTTGTTCTGGGAGACTAACTCACTCCAAAGAATAAACCAATGGCTTTAGTGTGTGCTTTACAAGAGTGTTTTTTATATCTTTAAAGATGATCTTCAGAGATAATCTTTCTCCCTCCCTATATATTTAGTAAGCGCAGCTAATCTTAGCCCTTGCATTTCAATAGGTCTGTTATTTCCCCCCTGATTTCTAGGGATTTCTTTATACCAAGACATGTTTAGACTGTTGCAAAATCCTTATTTCTGTCTGCCATGTGCTCTTTGATCTATGTTATTTTTCCATCTTCTTAAGTTTGGTTACCACTGATTCGAAAGCTGTTGATCAGGATAGCACTGAAGCTGAACAACAGAAGTTGGAGGTAATTCCAAAAAATGATTTCTCCATATAAGCAAATGATGGGCTTGTTTGGTAAGGTATGTCTTTGTAAATGTTAGCAACATGTGCTCTCTATCAGAAACTGCCTCAGCAAGCAAAACAAAGGGAGACAATTCCAAGTGCTGAATGAAACAGTTCTGAAGATGAGTCACATAGCTTTCTGCAAGAGGACATAGTTTAATTGCATAGCCCTCTTCTGAATTCTTTGATAATTAAATAGTTGCTATGGCAGTAATCCACAACTCTTCCTGCTCCCAGCAGGTCAAAATGTATATAAATACAACACCAGCTGATTATTATTTTTCTCTTTCTTTCTTTCCTTCCTTCATTTTGTTACCTTTTTATATCGGTTAGGTTTTGTAATCAATAGCAAATCATCAAACAGGAACAGATAGACGTCAGTAAATCTCATAGATTCTGGGGAGCAAATAAAAGATGAACTGTCATGCAGATATTTTAAAAACAAAACTAACATTTTATTTTCTGAGCGGCTCACTGCATCTTGATTTTGGCTGATCTGATAGAAAGAATTTGGAAGATGTCCAAAAGTATGTTACCTTTTCCCACCAACAGATCTTTGATTTTACAATATCCTTTTGTCCATGAGGAAATTGGGAGAAAACAGTTCCCCCCTATTAACACCTGCATCTTCTTTGTAGTATAGTATGGACTACAATGTATAGGTAGACCCTCATGTAAATATACTTACAATTGTATCTACAAGGCTGAGTTAAGTAAATGAAAAGCACTGGTGGTAGCAGGAGTAGCATTAGGACAGAGTATAGATTTGTCCCACAGTACCTCCCCCCATTCATTAGAAAAAAGCCCAATCCCATGATGGAAGAGAACTGACTAAGAGAAAGCTGCATAAGAGGCTGAACAAAATAATTCCTCAAGAGTTAATACGGCAGTAGACCTCTGAACCAACCCTGGGAATATGCAGGCAAAGAAAACACCCCTTGGAGATCCACTTGGTCATGACTAATTATAAACTTGGCACTTGGCAAACCATGGCGAGGGGTGCTGACTTGACTTTGTGAAGTGTCTCTTTGGATACTTAACACAGTCCTCCTGCATTTACGGAGGCCCTCGTTTTCTATGACTTGATGCTCTGATTTGGAACTGTGGTCACTTTTACTTATTCAACAGTGTGTCAGTTAAACATCCAGAACTGGACACAAAAATGAGCTAGAAGCTCTGTCTGGATAAGATTAATTCTGTGGCTCATTTTGCCAGGATTTTGTTTCTGTTCTTTCATGAGGTTTAGAAACTATTTCATTCTGTGTATTGTCTGATATGCCTGCCAAATGTTACAAATGTTTACCTGCAAGTATTAATCGCCCTTCAAGAAGAAGTGATCTCTTTGTAGGAGACAAGATGTTTTCACATGGGTTATTTCTTAGCATGTACTTGAGACACTTAAGATGGGGAAAAAGGGATCCAGAAAAGGTCATTTAATAGATGAGAAGTGAATTTTTATTTGAAAGTATACAGAAGATTAATAGCAAGCTACATGTCTAGAGAAAACAGTTACACCATCACACTGTTAAAGGCTACAGTGATCAAATCTCATTTATACAAACTTCACAATACAAAGTTATTAAGCACCAATCTATAACCTCTGCTTTGTTAGCATGGAGCAGACCAAAAGGATCAGGGCCTCTGATTTCAGCATTACACGCATATATTTCTTTGCTTTTTTAAAAAAGAATCAGCATGGGACTGGTCATGCCTTCTTCTTTTAGAGGCCAGCCAAAGAAATGAAAATGCTGGGCATAACTATGGTACACCACATTCAAACATTTTAAAAAATGTTATGAAGGAGCAACTGGGGGTGGGGGAGAGACTGAAAGGGTGAAAATACAAGATTTTTATTTTAGGGGCTCCAAGGCCACCTTGCCTGAGGACCCCTCAAGCTTTATAGTTCTTACTGTGATCAATCCTTTCAAACAAACAAACAATAGATAATAACCATTTCCATTCAATATTGTGATTGAATATTGTGATCTACCTGCCATGAAGGTAGAATATTTCACAAAATGTGATAATGGTTAGAATCATTTACTCCATTTGTGTGGTAACTCTTAGGTGAGAAAGATTTAAAGACTATAGTATAACATTTTCTATACTATTCAAGAAATTGCATACCTCAGGAACAAAAAATCTTTTGTCTTGATCCCAAAGTGAAGGCCAAATTATAATTTCCTGAAGCTGTTTAAATTTCTGAAAATTGTCCAGCCATTTCACTTTACCTTCCAAATCCCCTGAAAAATATGCCACAGAAAGTCAAGAATGGATGACTGATTATGATATCTCTATAAACATTTTGGATTGCAAATTATGATGAGTATTAGCAGTCTTCACACAAAGAAGTGAATGTCCACATTGGTAAATTCTAGTGCAAGTGGATAATCAATGGATATCATAATATTAAAAAATCAGTTTTGTGTATATATCAAAACTGAGTGGTGAGATTTTTAGTTTCTTGTGCTTTGTTCTAGTTCGAATTGGTTGATTTTTCAGTTAGTTTGTATGATAGTACTACTGATACTGGTACTAAATAGTTTGTACATTAATTTTTAGAACAAAAAGCGGCTTACAATATGTATCAGAAATATTTAAAAACCAATATCTAATGTTAAGAACAGTAAACATAAAATATATAAGAACTGTAGCATAAAATAAAAAATATCCAGATATAATGATAGAATACTTAAAATAACCACTAGACAGTAGGAACAAAACAATAGAAACCAAATTGATTAAGAGACTACATGGCAAAAACCACAGGAAATGAAAAGGGAAAGGGCCAAAAGGAACAAGAAAACTTTCCAAAACCAAAATAGTAAAATAAGGGCGGGGGCCTAGAGCATATTCCAATGTTGTGGGATGAACATGGAGAAGGCCTGGCCACATCTCAGCCTGCAAATTCCCCTGGCCCTTCAGAGGTGATCCAAAGCTTGGGTAGAGAAGAAACATTCACAAAGATACCATAGTCCAAAACTGAAAGGCATTATAGCCTTCAAAATGAGGCAGCTGAGATATAATAATGAAGTAATATCAACCTTACATTGCTAGTTATTTGCCCTAGTTACAGTCACAGAAGAACAATTTTTGCAAATTTCTTTGAGAAACTCAGAACAGAACAAATCCCAAAGCAGGGTTATAATGTTTTGACTTTCTTTACTCACGTATTGATGTTTCCACCTTTTCCTTAAGTGAACCAATGATAACTTTCTCTGCTGCCTCTGTATTTTTCCAGATGTTCTTTAACAGGAGGGGATAACGGGTCAATTTGTGTAAAGGTGCAACTAACATTTCAGATAAACGGAGTCGCTTACACTCTTTCTTCCGCTCACACCACTATTGAATTTGATGGAAAAATCATGTTAGGAAACATAACTTCAATGGGCTTTCTTCACAGAATGAGTATTGGTCATACCATAAATCATTTATTTCTTAAATGTAAGTTGAATATGACATTATTTATCACATAACCTATACCTTTGCAAATTATTCTATTTTTTTTCCCAGAGGTACGTTACAATGCAGAAAGCACCAAAAATAGAACTATACAAAATAATGAACTAAAACACCTTTAGTTACAATACAGAAATAGAAAAAAATCAGCAACATTTTAAAGTATAGCTTACAAAACATAGTCGTGTTAAATCTCTTTTGAGTTAAGTCTGACTCTGGCCTTTTTTTTTCATGAACACATGTATGTTGTTTGCTTGGCAGCAATTTGGAGATGGCTTCCCACTTCTGCCTTCTGTAAATTTTTCTTTTTCTTTCCAGTCTAGCTTGCCTCCCTAGTATTTCATCTCTCATTCAAGTACCAACTAAATCTGGCCCTGCTTAGCTTTTGAGGTCAGCTAGGCTGTGCTGACTCTGACTAAGTACTCTGGTAGTACTTAGCAAACTGATCAGCACCAATATTCTGCCATTATTCAATTAAAGGTGGATTGAAACAGCTTATATATTTTTTTAATTAAAAAAAAACCCTATTAAATATATCTTATAAATATATAAAATTATCTTTTTTCAGATAATAGTGATTTGTTCTGGACATAGTGAAATCAGTTTAAAACACTATAAAAGTGATCAAAGACAAGATTAATAGCTTTACTTTCAAATAGGTCCCAAAGTCCTCTCTTTTCTTCAGTTTTTCCAAGTAAAAAATGGCAGAAGAGTAAGTCAGACAGTATATCTGGTGGCTCCGACACAGGTTGCCTTGGAAATACTGGAAGATAAAAAATACTAGACACTTACTATTAGAGTACAAAGCATACTGATCCATACTCTTTTTTAAAATTTTCTCTTGCAATTTTTTACCTCACCATGATTCTGAATCTCGTATAAATTAATATTAGTTCTTTGTGATTGCTACAAAAACAAAACAAAAGTACCGTGGGCATGATCCGGCCTTAGTGCAAGGCTTAAAACAGTAAGTACATTAATTTAGGATGTTGCATTGATTTCAGTGTAATTTATTCCTCAGCAAGTATGCATTGGGTCATGTAACCCACTGGCTTGTCTTTGGCTGACAAAAGGAAATGATCACTGAAACCTCATTTTATCAGACTTAATGCAAGAGAAGTTGCATATAAAAGACCAAATTTCTGCTGTGATTTATGTATTTTCTGTAATTGGAGAATTACTCAACTGCCATGATTTGTATGATGTACATGGTAACATAGTCATACAAATGATGTAAAACCCTGTCATGCCCTACTCTCCAATTCAGTGGACTATTCTGAATAACAGACACTCTTCCCTCCAATTAGTCTGTTAAAGCAAGGTTTCACTGGTGGTTTTGCACTGTGTTCAGTTGTCCAGATAGGTCTGTCCAAATGTCAGATTTTCATTTTCACCATCATAGCCACAATGAACAAAGCCTTGGAGGACTGGAGGATTATGGGCACTGAAATCCAACATACCTAGTAGATTGGGAAAAACAACTTATCATAACTGTAGGAAAGGTTATTTTGAACTTTTGTAGCAAAAGCACCCTTTTTTGTGGCACCCTAGTGATTTGAGACTAAAATGACAGAATTGTGGGTTTCTTCAGGAGAATGAAAATGTTCTGCTTTCTAACATTTCTTACCAGCTTTCATAACTGAATGTATTTAGTTATTTTTTACCTTTGTGAGTACACTGATGAAATCAAGGGGGGGTGTTCGCTTGAGAAGATGATCCTCTATGGTGTTAAATAAACTAGTTACAAAACTTAGAGTCACCTAGGCAAAGAATATCATTATTTGAAATGAATTCTGGATAAAACACTAGACTTCAAGATATACAAGGTATGAACCACATTCCTTTCCATTGAAGCTTCTGGAGCCTCTAGGCCAGAAGTGGGCAGCCTCTGCAAATAAAAATGGACAGGGTAAAAACTGAAGACGGCTTTTTGTGCAGCAGGTAAAGACCACCCCATCTGGTGCAACTGGGCTTGAAATCGCTTTGTGATATCACTGCGTAATCGGCAGGAAGGCACCACAACCACGCAGGAAAAAGCTTATTTTTCCTGTTATTCTTCCCAAAAGTCACTTGCTGCACTTCTCTTGCACGTCGGTTCTCAAGTCTAGTTGTTTCACCCCAATAGAGTTTGTCCTGTTTTTTTTAGTGCACATAATCCTTTCCCCAAATCACTCCTCCAAGCAGCCAAGTTAGGCTTGGCAAAAACTTTTCACGGTTTTCAATGGAAAGTTTTCTTAAACCTAATTACTGAGGCTGAGCACTTCTAGACAGGCCCAGGTTAGGAGACATTGCCCTGTTATAATTGTGTAGCCCAGCCCATGAATGTTCTTTTGAAATTAAATTAAAATATATTTCTAGAACTTATGTCTCATTGTAAGATAGAGAGTGAAAGGCATTCTTCTGTAATGCTGGTGTTAAGATCTCAGGATCTTTTTTCCCGGCTCCAGCATAAAATAAGGACAAATCTATTGAAATATTAACAGATATTAAAATGAGTTCTGGATCATCATTAAAAAAGTATGTCAGATTTGGTGAGCACACACAGTTTTCACCACTCAGACCAGGAGTCCAAATGCTGTTTAATGTAGGGCTATAAAACATACTTTATAATTGAATCACAACTTTGGGAAAAATGCATTGGAAAACTTAATATCTTGTATTTTCTATTCCAATTTTTCCAGAGATTTATATATTTTCAAAATAAGCAGGATCTGGATTGTTTTGTATCTAGTATTTTACTTTAATTATTACCAATCCTATTAATTCACCAGCATGAATAATTCTGGTATAAGTCCATTTTTTTTAATCACTAAAGTTCCTTGTTATCACCTGATTTAATTCTTCCAAGTTTGCGAACAGTAGTCGAGGGTCCACATCTGGGAGCAGTTCCTTGCTCTGCAGGTACTTTAATGTATCCATAAAGATCTTTGGAAAAAACAAACAGTAATTTCTGGGTAATAATTTATTTTCCAAATCCCTGAATCCTACCATTGCTACTGGTTCTTTCTTTTGAGGAAGCTAATCCTTCTCCAGTTGCATTATAGCTCTAAAACAGAGTTCAGATTTCACTGAAAGACTAGAATGTCAGAATCCACCAATTTATTTACACACACACACACTTACTTAGAATGAAAGAATTGTAAAGTCAAGAATTAGTTCTATCAGAACTGAACTGAACTGAACTCATCCCTGTCCTAAGCTTTCTTCACTTCAATGTTACAATTTAGGACAGTGGGGTCATTTTGTTGTTGCCGTTATTAAAGAACTGGGAATATGTTATCACTGCCAAATCTATTTCAGATCATTTGGAGAACTATTAGTAAATAACGATCTGTGTTCTGTCCATCCCCCAAATAAGCAAAAAAGCTAAGAATAGCATTACTTTTCAAGGACCTGCAACATATGTTTGTATATTAGTGAATGTATCTCCCCTCCCCCCTTATTGCTCCCCCCCAATCCCCTGTAATAGTTTCCTAAAAACACAACACAGATGTGCTCATAATTGCTTAGAAATCTGTACATACTGCATTGCTGCCAAGTTGAAATGACAATTACCCGACAATTCAGCTAAAGGATTAAACTCTCCAAATGGCTTAATTTGAAGTAGGCATGCATAAAATTGGGCCATATGTTTTCCCCATGTTCTTGTTTTATACAAGTCTTTTCAGGAAGCACAAAGCTGTTCTCTCAAAATATTTTCTTTGAAAAATCAAGTATTGGTATAATGAAACTAGCTTCGTTGGTTCTGATTATTATATATAGTATGTAATTATGGTTATCTACCTCACATCTTCTTTATAGGAGATGCAGTGAGCACCCAGCCTTGTATAGAAAGTACTGGATGAGAGAGCACCAGGAAATATAAGGCTGTAGCCTCTGTTAGGAAGTGGAAAAGCCATTCCAGAAGAAGGCAATGACAAACCATTTCTGTACCGTGCCAAGGAAACTACCTGGCCATGTCCATGAAGTCATCAGGAAGTGAGTTTGGTTGGAGGGAGATTTCCATTTGGAAAGACTCATTACTAGAACTTATTACTATGCTGGCTGGGGAATTCTGGGAGTTGAAGTCCACACATCTGAAAGTTGCCAAGGTTGAGAAACACTGTACTGGAAGAATATCTTCCTCTTACTTTTGAGGAAGCTATTTCAAGTGAGCATAATTCCCCATTTAAGTAAGTGTGAGCAGTCTTTTCTTCACAAATTTATTTGTACAACTGAGTTTCAGATCTCACGTAGTAAGGCAACTGGTAAATGTAGAAGTGAAAAACAAAAGCAGTCTACTGTTGAAGAAACCAGGAAGTTCCGTAGAAAGTAGCTCTTGTTTTATGGTCTTATTTGCACATAATACTGAACAAGATTTTTTAAATCATGGATTGTTGAACAACTCCTTGTAGTCTGGTTCACACTTAACTTTAAGCTGTACAGAATGGATAGCACTTGCCTAAGCCAAAAATAAGCAAATCACATTATTGATATTATATGTAAACCTGATTATTGTTAAATTGAGTTTCACTGTTCTTAACATAGCATTACACTAACTTTCCCCAATCAGGTGTGCTGAGTTATACTTTCCATACATCCAACATATCTGTTTCTTAAGCCAGTTTCAGAAATTCTGTTCTGGATTGCAGTAGGTTGGCAATGGGACTGGGCTGGTGCTCAACTGGACTATGGTCATTGCAAGATCTGCTTGGTTATTCTCCTGCTTCCCACTTTTCCTATCCATGCACAGAAAGCAACCCTCATTAGCCAGCTCCTATGTGGACCAGTCTACCAATGTCTTTCTTTTCTTTCATGGATTGTTTCCTTCTCACTAGTTTCTATCTCTTTCCTTGTTTTCCCAAATGTTTGCACACATGGATCCTTTGCCACTCCTACCCTTTCCCACATGAGCTGCTTTGACACTAACAGAGATCCTCCCTCCCTTCCTGTTTCATGATTGCTCTTATACTACAATAATCAAAGCAACAAGGAACAGGTGTTTTTTTTACTCCTACTTCCTCTATAGAGCCATGAAAACTTTCTAGCAAGAAAGGATTGATAGTTCAGCTTTATAGAACCAAGTAGCCATGTCTCTCCATTGCAACTTAAAGCTTTTCGTTTTTGTTTTTTGAGGAAGGGAAGCTTTGCAGAACTGTGCAGCTCATTCAGCCAACCTGAACAGAAACCAAAAGGGTACCCAATGGGAGATGTAAGGGTTGAACGGAGCCTAAGCTTCTAGGATTGAAGATGGTTCATTGACTTAACGGACCTTCAACCTTAATATCAAGATTATTTAAAAAATAGCAACTACCCACCAGCAGAGAACATAGCAGCCTGGAAGGGAAGTAACCAGCTGTGGGAGGGTGGGGGCATGCAAGGCCCAGCAGCTAATTGGACGTGGGCTGCTACTAGAATGGAATGAAGCACTGAGACCATCTGTGCTGAAGGGCTTTAGATAGCTCCCCTCACAAAAGAGCAGTTTTGAACTGACACTGGAAAACACAGATCTGGGATGTGTTTGCAATGGGCTGAGAATGGGAGGAGGACAGTGTTATCCATTCCTGCACTCAGGACACAGAGAGTGGCCCATAGTTGCTGATGGGCCAAGCAGAAAGTCTGGATGTGCTCTTAGATTATTTCTAAAAAGAGATGCCATTTTCCAATGCACTTTTTCCAACTGAGATTGGTTTGTAAAAACTGCCAGAGTCTTGTTGAGCAATAGCTGCTACAGCTGGCATCTCAGCCTACAGAACGCCACCTTCAATGGAGCAAATGGTTGCATAAGCTTACTGTCAGGTGAATGGGCAAGCTGCAAGCAGTAAAACTGCTGAAAAACTTAAACGTACCATTTTGAGAACCAATAGATGGTCAAGAAAGTAGCTGCATTCTGTTGTGAATAGCTCCCACACAGCTTCTTTCTTCTTTGTGTCTAACTGATCACTATCAGTTTGTGGTTCAAGTTGATGCATCTTCAACATTTCATGCCATGTTTTATCCTGTAATTGTGAATACAAATATATACCTATTTATGCATATTCATTCTGAAAGGGGTCTTTGCTATTTAAACACCAGAGTGATTGTTGATATGCAGCTTTCTTGTGTTGAATATTTATTATAGGGTTAAAGCTCATATAAAATAACATTAATAATATTTTATGTATTGCACTGAGAGAAATAATCAGTTAAGAGAAATCAAAATACAAAGTTAAAACAAATATTTGTTCACTGAAAATTATATGATAAGAAGTATTGTACCTTAACATTGTGTAATCTGAAGCCACCACACTCTGACATTTTAATGGTTAGAGTTGAAAGACAGTATTCCAGCTCAGCCATTTGTTTTTGTTTGTCTTTATTCTATTTAAAGATAAAATTTACATGTCAATTTGCAAAATCTGAAGTCATATATTTAAACTGGAGGGAAGAGGAAAGGTTATAGATTATTTTCCAATGACGACCCCCTTTAGAAAAATCAATATCAAACTTTGAAAGGCAGTTCATCATGAAGATATATGAATTTTATTGTAACATGATTGCCAACTGTTATGAATATAGACAAAAAATAAAGTAGACTGATCTACTAGATTAGTCAGTATTGGCATAGGAAGTAAACAGGGAAATATTGTGCTTGTTTTTATTGCAAATGAATCTTTTCAGAAGGTATTGAATGGAGAAGAATTAAGTAACTGTCTGTTCATCCATCTTAAGTTGTGAGGGTATCCCTTTCTCTCTACCACCAGAATGAAAGAAAACCTCTGGCTTTCTGTGGCATAGGTGGTGTTTCTATATGGCTTACAGAAATGTGAGTTGAATGTCAGTGCAAAATACAGTGCTGCTATGGTGATAAGTAGCTACCCTTCTCTGCTATTTTATAATCTCTTATAGATGTTTTTCCATCTGTTGACCCAGCTCTTGAAATTAATCTAAATATCCAAGCTGTATTAACGAAGACTGGATGTGTGCCTGTTTGAATGTAGCCCTTTATCCCCCCATCTCAGTTTATTTAAAGCAAAGGTTTTCCAGCATATAAAGCTGCTTTTCTCTCTCTCTGATCACCGGGGGGCGGGGGGAGGGGGGCAAACATACCTGACACATTAATGTAATTTCACTCAGGAGCATATATCCCACTTAATTCAGGGCCTGGGAAAAAGACCAGGTCTTCAAGGCCCATTTAAAAGACAGTGGGGTCAGGAAAACGTGAATCTCTGGGAGAATACTATGCCAGAGGGCAGGCACTGTGACAGAGAAGGCACCCCTCCAGGTTTCATCAGATGACACAGTATCTGGAGAATTGTTGGATCTTACTAGATGGGCAGAGACAATAAGAGACAGGTGGCCTTTAGAGAGCCAGGCCCTATGCCATGCAGGGCTTCATAGGCAATACCCAGCACCTTGATTTGCCCCTGGAAACTTACTGCTAGCCAGTTATATGGTTGTACTGAACTCCTCCAAGCTCAATACCACAGGAAGGCAAGTTAAAATCTCCAAGAACTAAAAGTCTCAGCTCAGCAACAGAATTGGGCAGCTCTGGCAAGGATGTCACTATGCAACAGGTAGGTCAACACAGCAGCAACAAACTGAACTGATCTGTACAGCCCAGCTTTAAACACAGGGTCTCACATCCAGTTATCTGTCCTGCAGTGCTGAAAGCTGTTAAGGTTTCCCAGATGATAACAGTTACCCACTGCAGCTTCCTCCCCTCCCAGATTTCCAGCTGCTGCCACACTCAAAAAATGCATATGAAAAGGAAACATTCTGCATGGGTAGCTGGTGAGAACTAGTTGGATGCGCTCAAGGTATGTTGGACTTTGACTCTCAGGATTTGTAGCCGTGGTTCAACTCATCTAGAGGGCCTCAAAGTAAAGAAAGCTGTCATGGATTTTTCAGTCTATAGAAACAACAACTGATAGTGAGGGGGAAAATCTGCAAAATTTGCAAAATACTCACAATTCCTTTTTTAGTAAATGGCCACCATGGCCTTTTGGATTGTACTGCATGAAAGAAAAAGAAGAGCATTGTTAAAGAAATAAAAATATCTATTGTAGAAAATGTGATTGTACGGCCCTATTTACACAACACAGTTAACACAGTCAATCCAGGGCCTGGGAAGAAGAACCATGTCTTCAAGGTCCATTTAAAGGACAGCAGAGTCAGGGAAACTTGAACCTCGGGGGGGGGGGGGGG